GGTGCGGTGTTTGAGTAATTTTTCTGTGGTAAAGCTACCAAAATCAATCAATCAGTTGCGCCTATTTGCAGGTCGATGCCACGCCATGGCGTCATTTCTTTAGCGCGCGAAAATTCGAACATGACCTTGCGAGAGCGTTATCGTTTCCCAGGTGGCAGTGCAAGGGGAGCCAAATGGTGAGATAATAGTGGGTCGATGAGCAGACAGGGAAACACTAGAAGAGTTGTCACTCAATAACTACTCATCACCATAGGACACGATCGATAGAAGGGCTATCACAGGGGATGGGAATCAGCATTGTAGAAAGGGTTGTTTATTTCTCCATTTCCAGCAGTTGCTGAGATCCAATTGTTCTGGTGTGTCCCTGTCACACATGGGCCGAGAAAGTGCCTGCTGGAGAAAGTGTCTGTTTGTGAACAGTATGCGAACACAGAAGAGATTCCACCAAAAACTTAAGCTGCTCTTCATCGAAAATATGCAGTATTCTGCCAATTTTATACATACGCTTTTTTGTATATAAAACTTTATTATTCAACAAGTATGAATCCGCAATAATGTTAGTATTCGTTTTGCATCATATGTGGCCCTAAAGAGGGCCGTTGGGTTAGATTAGAGACAGCACGAGTGGGCGCTTATTCCTTGTCACCGGCAGTCTTCTTGGGTAGGAGAACAGCCTGGATGTTTGGCAGAACACCTCCTTGTGCAATGGTCACACCAGAGAGGAGCTTGTTGAGCTCTTCGTCGTTGCGGACAGCGAGTTGGAGATGACGAGGGTTGATTCTGGTCTTCTTGTTGTCACGAGCAGCGTTTCCAGCCAACTCGAGCACCTCAGCGGCGAGGTATTCGAGAACAGCAGCCAGGTAGACAGGAGCTCCACCACCGATACGTCCAGCATAGTTGCCCTTGCGGAGCATACGATGAAGACGACCAACTGGGAACTGAAGTCCAGCTCGCGATGAACGCGACTTCGACTTTCCTCCGGTCTTAGCTTTGCCTCCTTTTCCACGTCCAGACATGATGATACGACGACTGAGAACTGCGAGATGAACACTCACGGGTAACCCTTCTAGGATCCGGGGCAACGATTATGCACGATGCCGTGATAATGCTCCGCCCATTAAGGGCCAAGTGGCGCGACCACGTCCCTTGCGCCAATGGGCGGAGCATGGTTACAAGGCAGGTATTTAGGCGCAGCATGATGACCCCATTCCTCATTCACGTTCAGTGACTATCTCGACCAACGATGCCACCAAAGCCGTCCGCCAAGGGAGCCAAGAAAGCCGCGAAGAGCCAGAAGGCCAGCCGTACTGGAGACAAGAAGAGGAAGCACAAGCGCAAGGAGAGCTACTCGGTCTACATCTACCGTGTTCTCAAGCAAGTGCACCCCGACACTGGTGTCTCCTCAAAAGCGATGTCGATCATGCACTCGTGCCACAATCATGCCCGTGCGTGAACGAGCATAAGCACACCGAGTTGAACTCAATCTAACCCAACGGCCCTCTTCAGGGCCACAATCGCATAAGTAAACGAATACATTATTTCTCAGTGGGTGAAGTGATATCACTTGGAATAAATATCTATGATTTGTTTGTTTGTTTGTCTCCCTATACACTGAAAAGTGGTCTGAGAGAAGAAAAGTGTATAGCTCATAAAATGGTGAAGAATTTTTTTTCCTGGTGATGGAATGAGTAGAATGCTGACGAGGGAGAGGGGTGACGCTGGTGTAGTTGATTGTGGGGGCCCCACGTGGTGACCTGGCGAATGGGTATATAAGCGACGGGCGCGCAGCGAACGGCATCTCATTCGTGAGTACAACTGCTCGATCGCAACAATGTCCGGACGTGGAAAAGGAGGCAAGGGACTCGGCAAAGGAGGAGCCAAACGCCATCGCAAAGTTCTTCGTGACAACATCCAAGGCATCACCAAGCCGGCAATCCGTCGTCTCGCTCGTCGTGGTGGAGTGAAGCGTATCTCTGGTCTGATCTACGAGGAGACTCGTGGAGTTCTGAAGGTGTTCCTTGAGAACGTGATCCGTGATGCGGTCACCTACTGTGAGCATGCGAAGAGAAAGACCGTCACTGCTATGGACGTCGTCTACGCCCTGAAACGCCAAGGACGTACCCTGTACGGATTCGGTGGATAAGAAGCTGATGTGCTGATCGAAACATTCATACATCTAACCCAACGGCCCTCTTTAGGGCCACAATTGAAACGTTAACGAATACGAGTATTGCATTGGAGATTGAATAAAAATTATTTGCTTAATGTTGATATTGTGTGTTGCAATGGTTGCAGTAGTAGCGCTATCTGTGAATTTGTTAAAGATAACTAAGGAAAGTTGTAGTGGCCCTGAAGCCTTTCCCAATGCCAGGGGGGGTACCGGTTTCGTTTTAAAAGATGTAAGATTGAAGCCTTCTTTTCATGATGTTCACAGAAATATTCCCATTTTTGGAGCCACCATGACATGATAGGTCACCTTTTCCATGGGTTACGGTAGCGTTACGGTAGCATTACGGTATCTGTTAGGGCAATTTTCAAGCAATTATGTAGACGAGGCCGGAGCGCTCCACAGAAAACGCGATTTCCATGGGCTCCATAGTGGATAGCTGTGCCTGCACATGTTCACCTAGAATAATCCTACCAAAAGACCTATACTGTATTTTCGTTAAGCAGTAAATATAGTGATTAATCCGAATTTCTGAATTCAAGCACGATTTTTGAGCGCGGTGTGCAGGGTCACGATTAGCGACAATTAGGCTCCGCCCCGCATTTCAGAATGCATATAAAAGCAGAATGGGGACTATTTGGTTACCGTTCGTTTAGGACTCTCTACATCAATGGCTCGTACCAAGCAGACCGCTCGCAAATCTACTGGTGGCAAGGCCCCACGAAAGCAGTTGGCAACCAAGGCCGCTCGCAAATCCGCACCGGCCACAGGAGGAGTGAAGAAGCCCCATCGTTATCGCCCAGGAACCGTCGCCCTTCGTGAGATCCGTCGTTACCAGAAGTCGACCGAGCTGCTCATCCGCAAATTGCCGTTCCAACGTCTTGTTCGTGAAATCGCTCAAGATTTCAAGACTGATCTGCGTTTCCAGTCGTCGGCTGTGATGGCTCTTCAAGAGGCCTCTGAAGCGTACCTCGTTGGTCTGTTCGAAGACACCAACTTGTGCGCTATTCATGCCAAACGTGTCACCATCATGCCCAAGG